AAAATCAATGTTAGGATAAGATCAGTGAGTTTCACTACTAGAAAGGCCAGCCACCTTTTAGTATAAAAAATATATATATATATATATTTTTTTTTTTTGTAGAAGTGCAGTTTACAGATATTGCGACCCTCACATGAGGACATACTGTTTGTTTTGTTTTGTCTGGCGGTGCTACAGTGACCTCTGTTGGTGAAGTGACACATGTCTTGTTTTCTCAGGGAGCAATGGGGCCTGATGGTCCAACAGGAGAGATGGGGTCAGAGGGCAAGAAGGTAAGAGTGCTGGCATTTACTCAATAAAATTATGCAGTTGAACTGTATGAACATAGCAATTACATATTTTTTTCAAAGACAAACACTTAAAATAAATGGGCGGCGAACTGCACTAGTCTTCCGTTTTATCTAAGGAATAGTACATATACAACACTGATTATCTTATCTTTTCTCTTCACTGAAGGGTTCCGATGGTCCTCCAGGAAAAATAGGTTTCCCAGGATCACAGGTGAAGCTCCTAAACACCATTCTACTTTTTGTTTCTATCTCAGATGTGTGTGTGTGTTTTTTTTTTTTTTTTGGCAACTATGTTCTCAGAGAACCTCTGCTTTGAACCAGCAAGGTTGAGATGCAGACTCAAGTATGAAAAAGAATCACTTTTTATTCTTTCATGGTTTTTTGTAGAGTTTATTACTAGACATACATATGTGACCATAGAACATTACTCAATTTTTATTGTATGCTCATTTAATGGATTTGGCTATCCATAAAGTGCCATTCAAAAGCATTCAACACTTTGAAATTTTCCTCATTTTTTTTTTAAATTACAACAAAAAAAAAAAAACTTTTTGTAGTTTTAATACTAAGCGGAAGTAAATATAATGTTATCTAGTATTTTTTCAGTAAGATTTCTAATATATGTCAGGCACAAGTCAAATTAATCATTTTAATTACCGCATTTCAGCAACATGTTTAGTCAAGATAAAGGAAAATCTTTTTAGAACAGGTTTGATTTTAACCAGCTCTAGTTTTCCACAATTGACTTTTGTTAATCCTGTCTTGCCATCCTTTATGTCCCCAACAGGGAAAGATCGGAGAGCCGGGAGACACTGGGCCAAAAGGTTTTCCAGTAAGTTCAATGTTTTGTTTTTGTTTTTTTTGTTTTGTTTTTCTGTGACATCACTGAAAATAAACAAGTTGTTCAATAAATTGCTAAGTTAACACATAAGTTAGAGATGCAAGGCTGAGATGCTGTATGTAGAGGATGAGTGGTGGATTTATTGGATAGAACTTCATGGATGTAGTGAAGGAGGGTTGGTGTAGCTGAGATGGATGTTATGACTATGGTAAGATCTATTTTGAAAGCCAAAGGTAGAAGAAACTTTCTAAAATCTGGTTCATAGTGCTTTTTTTAATACGTGCTAAAAAATAAGTTGTGTAAACTTATTGTGTTTCTTGGTAAGTATTGTGTTAATTTTAGATGATGTACTGCTGTCTTCCTAAACTCACAGATTGTTTTGTTGTCAGGGAATCCAAGGGCCTTCTGGACCTCCAGGGGACAAGGGAATAGCCGGCGACCCGGTACGTTTAGACTTATAAACTCTTGACCCAGTCCTCAACCTCTTTGTGGTATTATCAGTCCAGCTCATCAAGCATGTCTTCATCTCATTCAAGAAATAGAACTGTAGTTTAATTCTCCCGTCCCTCAATCTGAAGTAAATTAGAACTGGTGAAACACAGAAATGAGGATTAAAACATTATATTAATAACTCATTTATGTGTTTCTATGTGACATAGAAAGCTGTTACAAAGTTGTCTCATTTTTCTTTTTGTTGTTGTAGGTTTTAGCATAAATTGCTAGAACCTGCAGCAAGCTTTGATAATATAGCTTTAATAGACATTGCCTCCATATTTGTTCATTTTCCAAATTTCTGTGCTGATAACTTTCGTAATATTTTAATTATTGATGCAGCCTTGGTTGTCATGTAAGGTCAGAACACTGCCTCTAAAGATTGATTTTGACCTGTGATTACCAACAATAGATTGCTGATCTATAAAGATTTCCTGTTTGGGAATTAAATTTTGACATATATTTCCTTTCTTTTTTTTTCCTTCCTTCTTTCTGTTTCCTTACTCTGAGCATTTTTTCAGAAATATTAATGAAAGACAATGTGGGAAGTTTGAATGAATCTTCTTTATTTGGATTTTTATACATCAGCTGGAGAGTTATAATTTCTATTTTCCTCTATAGTCACCATTTTTTTTATAATAGACATGACAAGCTTACACTTAGAGATTGTATTTTATGATGAAACGGCATAAATAAGTTGCTTATTATGTTGGTTAGGTCATCAAATAGGTTTAATCCATACATTTTCTGCTTGTTTTTTCTCCTTATGTTGTTGTTTTTCGTACAAATAGTACTAGATCTTGATTTCTTTAACGTAATGATCATTCAAGCTACCATGTTGTCTTCTGCAGGGACCACCCGGACCACCTGGGACTGTTGGATTGTTAGGGGAAATTGGTCCTAAGGTAAGCAAATATACAACACTTTGCAAAACTAATCAACTTTTCACATCTTTTCACATTGCATCCACAGGTGTCAGTGTGTTTTCTTGAGCTTCAAGGTAGCAGACCAACACATAATTGAGCACATGTGTTTCCAAATAAAATCTGAAAGGCATATGCCATACGTATGTGTCAATAATTTGCAGAAGCACTTTTTTCTCTTAATTGTAGCTGCAAGATCAGCCAGATGGAAAATCTATTTTAAAGTCTTGCCTCAGCTTCTCAATGAGATGTTTAATCTCCAGCTGTACGTTCAGGAATGTTTGTCTGTCTGGAAGGTGCATCTCTACCAAAGTCCCAAGTCTTTTGCAGCTTCTAACAGGCTTTTTTCCAGCAATAGCCGTTGATTTAGTTCCATTCATATTCTCATGATCTCTGACCATGTTGTTTGATGTTGTTTAATCGCTTAACTCCGCTTTAAACTTGTCGAAAAGTTGTCTCTGGCTCTTAAGTTACACTTTTAAAAGTGATATCAAAGCAAAGAGGGCTGAATAAGCCATAATTATCTGATTTTATCTGTAAATAAAACTTTTATCCCACAATGTCGTGTTGGTCTGTCACATAAAATCTCAATCTATGCATTAATGTTTGTGAGAGGACAAAATTGGAAAAAAGTTTAAGAGGTCTAGAAACTTGTTCAGGGAGTTGCACAGATACACAAATTTAATTCCATATTTATTACAAGTAAAATACAAATATGTGATTCTTAGCTTCTTTCACTGGATTAATAAAATTATATCATAATATATCATATAATTATTATATAATAGTATATATTATAATTAATTAATCTACCCTATTAAACGAATTAACTGCAGCTGACATGCTTCCTTTTTCATTTTGACTATAGTTAAGATAGTAAATAATGGAACTTGGCGTTGATGTATTGTTTTCATGCAGTGAAACTATCTTAACATTTTAAATCAGGTTTCTAATTTTACTATGGTCACTTTTCTAGGGTCCTGATGGCAAAGAGGGTGAACCAGGACTTCCAGGCGAACCTGGGGAGAAGGCAAGCAAACTAAACCATCGTAATTATGCCCGAATGCTTCATTTAAGTTCTTTTTATCAACACTAAAAATTTGCTGTCTTTGGGTCTCAGGGGGGGCTTGGACCAGCAGGGAACATCGGAGAGCAAGGACTGATAGGGCAGAGGGTGAGTTTGTCTGAACCAAGTTATGAAACCATTTGGTTTACTGAAAAGCTGGAGAGTTGGTTCACTTTTTTATGTGTGCAGGGCGAGTCAGGTCTAGAGGGAGAAGCTGGTCCAGCTGGTCCTGATGGAGCAAAGGTAAACATGATTGCACACTATACTTAATGCTGCATATGTATGTTATTGAGAAAATACATGAAAGAATCAGACAAAATTAAAATAGCCACTTGTATTTATGTGATTAGGGTGAAAAAGGTGACATGGGTCAGGAGGGTGACAAAGGTGAAAAAGGTGAAACTGGACTAAAGGGAAAGGAAGGTCCACCTGGTAGTCCTGGACTCACTGGCGTCCGGGTAAGTCATATGCCTGCTTGAAATTCATGCACATTTCACTACCTTCATCATAAAGCATCCATTTGAGCTTTATCAATTCATTTCTCTATTGTTTTTACTTAAGGGTTCAGAAGGAAAGCCCGGTAAAATCGGCGAACGAGGCAAACCAGGCCTAAAGGTACAAACATTAAATTACCTAAAAATCACTTAGCAGCAACAAATATTCAAAAAAAAAAAAGAGGGACTGCAACATCTGTTTCAAAACCTTGGGAGTTAATTATCATGCTTTATGCATGTCTAGGGGGCTAAAGGTCAGCTGGGTCACCTTGGAGAAACTGGAACAGTGGGAGAGACCGGACCGCCAGGATTTGTAGGACCGAAGGGTTCCAGAGGGACTATAGGACATGTGGTAAAGTGGAACAGTAATGATGAAGACACACTTAAAGCAGCCATTACTTAAACTAAAAACACTTGAGATGTTATAATGGATGGTGCGATTAACTGCATATTTGTTTCCCACAGGGAGCGCCGGGCCGAATGGGTCAGCAAGGTGAAGTTGGTCTTCTAGGCTACGAGGTTAGAGAAATTATTAGCATAATACTCAGAAACATTCATAAAACTTGAATTCTGTCATGTTATAACTACAAACCTCAATATATTCTATTGACATTTTATGTGATGGACCAACACAAAGTGGAAGGAAATTGATTAATGGTTTGTCACATGCATAATTTTGAGATATCCCAAACTAAAATCTGCTGCAGCAACCGAAGGCTGTTTTATGAAGACCTAGCTAATCTAAAGATTAACCTATAGAGGTTAGCCAACCCATAGATTAGTCAGGCTTCTCTAATGATTCTTCTCTAGCTAAAGGTTAACCTAGGTTAAGAGGTTGTATGGTTAACCTAGAAGTTATCCTCTACTTAGCTTAGTTAGATAGAGAAGAAGAGGCTGCAAAGAGAAGGATAGGTGGCGCTGAACGATGGAAGAAAACCTTTTTTTAATCTGCAAAAATCTTTAGTCTGGGATGAAAGTTTACCTTCCAACAGGACAACAACCCTAAACAGACACATACAACTAAAGAGGAACTGCTTAGATCCAGATATATTCCTGTCTTATGGTGGTCCAGTCAAATTCTCCTGCTGCTGTTGCAGTGGAGGTTGGTTCTATACGGAGTTCAGATGTACATAAACTGCATGAAGATTGTGGATCGTCTGATAAGGGACTGTAGTATTTCATTACTTTTTGTTGTCACTTTGCCACAGGGCCATCTGGGACCACAGGGCCCCATGGGGCGTCCAGGACCAAAAGGTGAAAAGGTACACCCCATTCACTTTATGTGCAATGTTGATCTCCAATTTTTCTGTGTAATAAGTACAAATTGCTCAGTCTGACTTCAGCATTAACCGAACATGTCCTGATGTAGAGGCTAGAGTCTCGAAGGAATCCCAGTTTGATTTTACAACTTTGACATTGTTTCTGTTCAGGGTGAGCAGGGTGACGACGGGAAGCAGGAAGGTCCTCCTGGTCCTCCAGGTCTCATGGTAAGTCCTGTATGACTCTGATTCTCTATACTTCTATTGGCTGTTCTTCTACAAATTAAATTTAATCAGAAAATCTGTTTATATATGTATTTTCTGTGTTATCAGGGACCTCCAGGTGACAGAGGAGAGAGGGGTGAATCAGGAGACCCAGGGTACAAAGTAAGAATGACAGATTATTTCAAAACAAGTTATTTAGGTGTTTTGATAAAGAGTTTTAACGTTATGTTCTTCAGGGTCAAATTGGTTTGGATGGAGAACGAGGCAGACCTGGAGCTCCTGGACAACCAGTGAGTGACCAAACTTTAATGTCACGCAGAGCAGAGTTTATGCAAAACAAACATCACATCTATTCGTGGAGGATTTCTTGATATGCTTTCATTTACGGAAAAAAAAAATAAAAAAATGTCGATTGCAGGGTCATCCCGGGCCTCGTGGACAAAAAGGACCTAAAGGTGCCAAGGGAGACCAAGTAAGGATGTAAAGAAATGCGAGATATCTGTAAAGAAAAATCTTTGCAGAAATTCAAAATCAAAAACTGGTACTAGGTGGATGTGAATCACAAAACAAAGCATTAAAATAAACATTGTTCAATGGGAATTTGGGGCAACAATTTGACAACAGATGCTAAGTCACCACATCACACAATGTAGTTTACAACATAGTACTACTAAACTATGTTGAATTGAAAGTTTCTAAATCTGTTTCAAGATAAAGAAGGAAAAAAGAGAAAGAGAAAGAAAAGGCCATAAAACAAATTTTGAACAATTCAACAGATATGTCCTTAGAAATGTGGTTTCGTACAAAAAAGACTTGAGCACTTATAAGGTGGATTCTCTGCTAAGTCTAAGTTAATAGTGTTTATCTCTCTAATTTAGGAAGGCGTGACATTTCAGTACTTTGATGCCGTTAGCTTATTTAAGCAACAGACCGGAGAACTTGATGCACTGCTATGGTTTTTTTAAGAGCATTTACTGAGCTTGCTTTAGATTACTAGACTATTTACTGGGTTGTTTAACAAGTTTAACTATTCGTGCAACATCATGTTAAAATCAACAGGCCTTTGACAAAACTAGAAACTTGAGGGCAGAAAGAGCAAGTAAAAATGTTGATTCACTCACAAAAATAAAAATAATTTAGTAGTAAAAATTATTTAAGTATTTCACATTTTAAAAATTTTATATATTTTTTTTTCTTCATCCAGGGTGAAAAAGGCAAAAAAGGACAACCTGGACAAAAAGGAGCTCGAGGAACTGAGGTATGTCATTGACTTCCTGTAGGACAAAGCTGTTCACATTTTCCACAGCTAATGACTTGTTCACTGTTTTAGGCTGGGATTTTCACTGATACAAGTTCTTCCAAACAAAGAAAGAAATCTTTCTAAGAATAAAAAAAAATTGAAGTTCAACATCAAAAATTCATAATTTCAAATTAAAAATTAATATTTTATTGATGACGTCACTTGCTGTCATTTCAGGACCACTGACGTCCAACAATTTTTACTCCAAGGCATATTACGGCAGAGAGATGTGGTCTATGCTTAGCTAAATACAACAAGTGACTCACAAACCGTTTTAGCTGCACAGACTAAAATAAAGATAAATTCAAGAGCAAGAAATAATAAAAAATTAAATCAAAACGTTTTAGGAGTAATCTTTTAATAAGGTGAACGTATGAGACATTTTTTTTATGTTTTGGATCTATTCTCTGATCCCTTTCCTACAAAAAACAAACCCACTTTGTTAATTTTATGTGTTTAAGTAGGTAAAAAAAAAAATTTAAATGCTAATTTTTGTATTTTAAGGAAAACTTATTTTTAATTATTTTTGTAAGTCTGAAGTACTTCAAACTGGAAAAATCTGTGGAAAAATGTTTGGACACAAATATTGTGTATGGGCACCTAAAGCATTAAGCCAATGTGTGTCTCAAAGAACATTTGGACATATGTTGCTTTTGTACAAGAAGTATTGCCATCTCTTGAACTTTTTAACATTTATTTTATTACAAAAGTAAATCTCTATTTCTTTTGTTCCCCAATTTATTTTATACATACCTGCCTCATTTATCTGACACCTGCAAATAAAATCCAATGTAACCAATGAACTTCAGAAGTCACCTGATTAATCATGTTTACAAGGAATCCTTAAGCCAGAGAAGTCATGCATCACTGTGAAGCATGTAGCTCAGTCTGGACGTAACGCCTTCATTCTCCTCAGGGTGGGGGTGGTCCTCCTGGTCCCAGAGGCGTGGTGGGTCCAGAGGGCCGTGAGGGAGTGCCCGGGGAGGACGGAACCACGGGAAAAGATGGAAGCAAAGGCATGCCGGTGAGACTCCTTCACAACTCGTTTCATAAAAGGTCTCATTCACACAGCTATTGACTTTCTGGGCTGATTATATGCAGTTATTGTACAATATTATTGT